GCGGACGCGGCCCTCTCTCGGAGTCCGCGCTGTCGGTGGGGCGCCCGTTTCCTCCCTGCGTGCCGTCCTGCGTCGTTCTCCCCGGCCTGCGCCGCAGCCCGCGCGCCTCTGCGAGCCGGGGAGTCGGCGGAGGGCCGGGACCAGCGCCGCCTCCGGGTCGCGGCAGCCGGATGGCGGCCGCCGTCCGAGACCCCGCTGGGAGGGGCCCGGACCGCTCTGGGTCTGTGTCATTGCGAGGGGAGCCGCACATTGAGCTTTTCTTATGCGGCTCCTGCCGAGTCCTTTTCCAGCCCCTCTTCCCCCAGCCACACCGGAGAACCTGTTTAGCCAGCGCTTGGCAGTCGTTAGGTAGGTTGTACTGTAGGGAGGACTTGAGAGCATAGTTGTCTCAGGAGAAGCGGTCGCATCTTTGCAAAACGGTATACCCGCTGTGGTTTGCGTTTCCTCTCTACTGAAGTATGAAGTTGCAAGTTCACACTGGCACATTCGCAGGGCTGTGCAATCATTGCACTTTATTTCATAGGTGAATAAGCGCTTTTTAGCTTTCTTTGTATATTGAGTTGCTTTTGAATTGCTGCCCATATTTTTATTTCATACAAACTGAACAATTGTGGCCCCTCTATTTTATTTATAAAGGTTCAGTGTATCTTTGCCTGCCTACATCAATCTGCAAGGGAGTTGCAGAAAAGCCTCATGTTCATCGAGCCGTGAGTCACAACCAATTTCTAAGCTGTTATAACAAAAAAGTGTTTGTTTTTTTCACAAGTAACTTTAAAAGTGTAGTTTAGAAAGAAAACATTTTCAATAAAAAGACACTACATTAATCCTGGATGCTTGCAAATCCTAAAATATATTCCTCCTTTAGTATTACACAGCACTGTGTCATATACACAGATTAGCTTTAAAATTTGTCACATACCACTTTGACTTTACTTTTATGTATCATTCCCCCTGACTTCCTTACTGCAGGTGTGGGCAAGAAAACTTTTCCTTTAAAACTTTTCAACAGCGGGCATAAAATTCTGCAGCTGAGGTCTTGAAGAATGCAGATGGGTACAGTATGTGTTGGAGCTCACAGTGTGTATTGACTAACCTAGTTTCTTTTTGCTTTTTTTTTTGGTATTGTTAAAAGTGACTCCTAGGTGCCAACTCTCTTTTTTAAGGGTGGGAATGAAGGGGATAGGAAGAATAGGTCTTGATTATTTAACTCATTGAAAGAGTTTGAAAGCTTCCTCGTCACATAACTTTGGGCAAAACACTGCCTGTGCAGCATTTGTCCATAACATAAAAGATCTGAGTAGCTTTTGTTGGTGGAAATTACCAGCTCTGTAAGTCATCCATGGTGGTTCATGGCCCTCTCATTGGTGTGGGTTTTTGGAATCTCATTGCCCATGTTTGTGTGTGTGTGTGTGTGTGTGTGTCTAGTGGCCTTTTGGTGCTCAGCCTTTTACTTCTGACTCTGACTTTTTTGGCACAACAATGGAGTCAGACCTCATTAAGTGTGATTCTTCATGGTCTCTTTAGTCTAAGAAAAAAATGTGTATTCTATTCCAGTTGTAAATACCTTTAGATCAGCTTTTCATTGTGTTTGATGGGAAGAACACAGAAATGATAGTCTGCAAATCATCCGGATGAATTGTTGTACCAGATACCCTTTTATTGTTAATGTGATAATATTGTCTTATTTAAAACCACAAATGAATTTCAGGAGACGAAACCAGACAGAGGGTCAAGTTTACAGATGATCGTGTCTGCAAGAGTCACCTTCTGGACTGCTGCCCCCATGACATCCTGGCTGGGACGGTAGGTGCATTATGGGTGCTGTATGGGCACTGAAGGTTTTTCAAGTTGACTTGTTTTTCTTTTGTTTTGAGTTGGAGTCTCACTCTGTCACCCAGGCTGGAGTGCAGTGGCACGCTCACGGCCACCGCAGCCTCGACCTGCTGGGCTCAGGAGATCCTTCCTCCTCAGCTTTCCAAGTAGTCAGAACTACAGGCATGCGCTACCATGCCCAGCTAATTTTTTGATTCTTACCATGTTGCCCAGGCTGATCTCGAACCTGTGGCCTCAGGCAACCTGGAACCTCAGACTCTGGAACCTTCAAAAAACAAAGTTCTTGGTCAGGTATGGTGGCTCATACCCAGCACTTTGGAGAGGTCAAGGAGAGAGGATTGGTTGAGCCCACGAGTTTAAGATCAGCCTGCATAACACAGCGAGACCTTGTCTCTACAAAAAATTTAAAAATTTTCCAGATGTGGTGGTGAATGCCTGTAATCACAGCTATTCAAGAGGCTGAGGCAGAAGGATTGCCTGAGCCCAGAAGGTCAAAGCTGCAGTGGTCTGTGATCCTGTTACTGCAATCCAGCTTGGGCAACAGAGACCCTGACTCAAAAAAAAAAGTTTTATCAAGACAAGTTACCCTACCTTCCCTTCAGCTGCTACCTTACTCTTCCAAACTTACTAATCAACATCACATTTTCCCGTAAGCCTCAATAAAATAATTCCTTCTATTCCTCCTTGACCCACCCCCTACTAAAGATGGGAGATGATCTCAGCAGACCTGTGGACCTGCAGAAACTCTTAGCAGGGTAGGGACCAAAACCACTTTTATTCTGCTGATAATTCAACTACCCAGCAACTCCATGTAGCCCATAATAGTGAGGCTCAACCTTTACAAACCCCCACCTGAATTTCCAATACTTATCCTATTCTACTTTCAGCAGCTTCTGACATCTGTTCATTCAAACCTTTGCAAAACACTTTCTTTTTTTCTTTTTTGAGTTGGAGTCTCACTCTGTCGCCCAGACTGGAGTGCAGTGGCCGCTCCCAGCCACCGCAGCCTTGACCTGCTGGGCTCCAGCGATCCTTCCGTCTCAGCCTTCCGAGTAGACGGAATTACAGGTGTGCGCTACCACGCCTGGCTGAGTTTTTGATTTATTGTAGAGATGTGGTCTCGCTGCCCAGGTGGGTCTCGAACCCGTGGGCTCGGGCAATCCACTTACCTCAGCCTCTCAAAGGCACGGGATTACAGGCTGAGCCACCGAGCCCGGCTAAAACACTTTCTTCATCTGTATATGGGTCTCCTGGGCTTCTTCCTCCCAATCTCAGCCTGCTTCTTCTCCAGCTCCCTTTGCTGAATGGCCCCTTCCCAATTCTGAACCATGCTGTGACTGTGCTCATTCCATGGCCTTCTCAATACTCATCTGTTTCCCACTCCCTCTAACTCATACCAGCCCAGACACAGCCGCAGCATTCTCTCTGTCCCTCTGCTTTCTACTCCACCCAGATCACTGTAATCCCAAACTTCACACATGTTCTCACCATTCAGGCCTCTGCCCAGATGTCACTGAGTGGCCTTTCCTCATCTCCCAGTTTAAAACAGCTCATTGTCTATTCATTTACTTATTTAATGTTCATCCTCTTCCCCAGCCAGATGAGAGTAAAGACTTTATTACTAGCACACTGTCTCCACTGCCTGGCACAAAGCAGCTGTCCATTAAAAACTTAGTGAATTCCTCTATACTTGATAATACACATATGTGGGAAATGCCCTCCTTCTGATTATCTTTGTCACCAGCAGTTAGGAGCACTGCTACACAAGGCTCTGACCAAGGAAAACATGGTTGACATCTGCACTAGAGTACACATCCATCTGTTCCTTCTGTCTTCTTCAACTATGAATTTACCAACAATTCCAGCTTCCTACAGAAGTACCCTACAGCTAAACTGCTTTTAAATGGTGCAAGTGCTGGATGTGTTGGTTCACGCCCATAATCCCAGCAGTTTGGGAAGCTGACGTGAGAGTATTGCCTGAGTCCACGGGTTCGATACGAGCCTGGTCAACTCAGTGAGACCTCATCTCTACAATAAATAAATAAATAATTAGCCAGGTGTGGTGGCACATGCCTGTAGTTCCAGCTACTTGGAAGGATGAGGTGGAAGGATCACCTGAGCCCAGCAGGTTGTGGCTGCGGTGGCCGGGAGTGTTCCACTGCCCTCCAGCCTGGACAGAGTGAGACTCCAACTCAAAAAATAATAATTTTTTTTTTTTTTTTTTGAGTTGG